TAGCTCTCTTTTCCACATTAAGTGATTTGTTTTTTAAATTGTCAGAACTCAGAAGCTTATTAATGTTGTACTTGATTGTATTAATGCCAATAATATGAATACTATTCAAAGCCCAAGTAGTAGTGAAACACTTTGACTTCAATATAGTTCGAAATCGTTGTCACGACAATTCTATCACTTTCAATTAGTCTTGTTAATGTCCATCACTAGACCTAATCCATCAATGTTTCCTCTCTCTTTTGTTTTTTTTAACGGCCATCAATGGTTCCTCACTTGCCTATTCCTATCACGTTATTCTTTCTTGAGGCAAATTTAATCTAACTTAATGTCATATTCAATGAATGAAAATAATTTTGAGAAGTACATAATTACTCTTAGATAGGCAGTCTATTTTTAGCCGGTAGGCTGTCTAGTTTTGGCCGTCTATCAGCTTTTCTTCTCGTCTAATATATGGTTAAATAACTAAATGATCATGAACAGTTATTTATGTAGGCGCTGACATAAAACCAAGGTTTGAAAACCTAACGGACTCGCCGGTCGAACTAGTTCAACCAGGACTCGTTTCTCTAGCCAAAGCCAGATTGATCTACCAACCGGATTTGAATTGGCTTTACAAACAAATAGAAAAGTTAAACGATGTACAGATTTGGAGCTAAATGAAGCGTGTTTAAACTCGGAAACAAAAATCTTCACTTATAAAACCGATTGGAAACTTCAAACATGTTATGTAAATATTTTCAAAAATTGACTTTGAATTCTTGAAAAATAAAATTGCTTACTAATCGATAGAGAAATAAAACTAAACTTCAACCAGCAGATTAAACGGCCAGGTATTTACCTTTCAGTGTATTTGTATCATAAAATTCAGAAACTTCATGATTCCCAAAATTTGTCCAGTAACTTTTGGAAATCCCATAATCTCAGAAACTTTACTCTAAAGTCTAAATTTTGTTTAGCAAATTAAACACTAAACTTTGTCCAAAAAATTTTCAGTCTATAAAAATCCCATAATCTTAAAATATCACAAACGTCATGATTTCCAATTGGACACTACAAAAGTCAAAGCCTTTGACTTTGGATTGCACAAAGAGATAATGACGTGGATCTTCTAATAATTCAACATTTTCCATCGAACTATGGAACCCACTTAGGTTCAAGTATGTAAAATTCATTTTTTAATTCAAACTAGATTTTAGCCGTGTATTCGCACGAAAAATTTTTTTAATCAAAATTTATAATATTATTTATGTTTTCTTTATATATATAATTTTTTAATAAATAACAAAGATTTATTTTTGTGTTTAGATATAATTTATTTTTTTAATTTTTTCTACTATATTATGACCATGATCATAAAAACATAATTATAACCCGATCATTCTATTAATTGAAAAAGACCGTTATTATAAAAATATATTTTTAACTCACTCATTCTATTAATCCGAAAAAATGTAGTTACTAAACCATAATTCTAACCCGTCCGCATATTACTATATAATATAATTATTTACTAATTTTGAAATAATATTTATCTTAATATCTTGCATATTTTGAATAAAAGACTGTAATTATAAAAAAACCTAATCCACCCCATCAAATTACCATATAATATTAATATTTATTAGTTTTCAATATGTGAAATTTTACTCTGATTGAATATGATTAAAAATACAATAAGGTATTCTCTTAATCATATTTGTTTTTCTAAAAATATTATTTAAATTTTCAAATGTTAAATTAAATCTGATCTATAATTAAAGAAGTATAAAATAATTTAAATTAATATCATTTTTTTAGAATTAAATTTAATTACATAAATAGTTTGAATTTTAAATTAAATATGACCTATATTTAAGAAAATTTTTAGTTATCTAAATTCATATCTAATTTTCGGATTTGTTTCATATAAAAAAGAAAATATGTTTTTAAATAATATTACAATAATTTAGGATAATTTTAAAACTGTTTCTCAAAATATTTTTAAAAAAATTTTGGGAGTGTTTGGAAGTGCTTCTGTTTTAATATAATAGATAAAAAAAAATGTAACAAATGAACATTGAAGAATTTTTTTTTAATTAAAGAAAAAATAGACTAATTCTTTCGGAATTAAAAATATTCTAAAATTAAATTGTTTGGGTTAAAATCGTTATTCACGTTTGGAAGAATCATTTATCACAAATAACTTCAAATGTTTTTAATTAACAGCAACACAAAGATTTGTGAGATCGCCCTCCCTTTTTCTCCTATTTTCTAGTCCAAACACAACACCATAATTTTTGCAAACTTGCAATTAACATACCACTATATGATTAGATAAATAATTAATATACAATAGTCAAATGTATTATATAATATGTCTATCAGTCTATCAATTTAATCAATGTGTTGGTTTACAGACCTAAGACTACTCCAAATATAACCGAAAAGTAAACAAACCAAATCTAATAAAACAGTAATAAATCAACACAAAGCATATAGAATCGAAAGCAGAAAATCCGGAGTAACTTTAACTCCTCAATTGTTAAGTTGGATCATAATCCACTTAAGTGGAAATTTTTAACAGCACTACAGGAAAGGTGGACATCTTATAGTGGACGCTAGATTCTTGGGATTTCGAGTTTAAAAGAAATGAACCATGCATATGCACAAAGTTAATAGAGTTAATTTTTTCTTTTTTCTTTCTTGACTAAAACATAGAGAGGTAACTTCAATAATAAATATTCTGACACCCAGGCCCCCCCCCCCCCCCCCAACCCAAATTTATATGAAGAATTTAATTATTTTGATTGGACCCTTCGTAAAACCTTTGCCATACTTGGAAACCCCTTAATATAAGGACTATTATTAGAAAAATTGGGTAAGGTTATCAATTTATCATCAAATGGTTTATATATAGCTTGTTAAATGACTATCAATTCTTATTCGACTTCTGTAACATCAGAGATGCCCATAAATTTGATTACGGAGATATACCCACTTTAGAGGTAAGAGCAACCTCAATGGTGAACTCCTCATGGGGTTTCATCCCAAATTTTTTAATAATATAATTTTGAGTAATTAAAAGTTTAGAACCTCACATTGTTTTGTTCTATCAATGGTGAACTTTTCATAGGGTTTCTAAAAAATATTTTTTTTTAAATTCAATTTTGAAATAATAGATTTTTTGATAAGTCATTTATTTGAAGAACAAGATTATACTGCCTTAAAATCCAAACCAATATGTGGATGCATTGAATTTTTAATGGCAAGTGTTACAGCAAGTTTCAATCCAACTTCATTGTTTGATAACATTAGTCATACAAAATGGTTCCTTGCACCAAAATGGTTAAAACAGGTTCATGAAGCTGAATCATTTCTCTCATGCTCTGTTTCAGACCTTCACTCCTATCCGTTGAGCAACCTGCAGAACAAAACAAAAAGAAACACATTTAATGATTCATATACATATGTATTCTTGATTAGCTGAAAAGAAAAGTTTCGCTGCTCTCTTAACATTTCTTTAACCTCATATACATGTATATATTCTAATGACACTTGTTTTCTCCACATTGTTACCGTCTTGCTGATCATAACATATTCGCATGTGATTCTGCAGAAAATCTTTAAATGGTTGGCACAATTGTGACTCGCTGTTAACTAGTTGCATTCAAACCGTGTACTTCACATGGATCTAACGGTACATACTTAATCATACTACACCACTTTTGCTGGTGTGTGATACTATATTCCTTCCAAAAGATGATCACATCCAGCTTGGTATGATAAGTGAAAAGCCTGCTTCGCTGGGTAAGTTAAAAAATTCAAAACCCAATATCTAGACTTCAAGTTACTGAAAAGAATCTCATTTATGCTGTTTTGTTCAGGTTGCTGTATGTAACACAAACAGCATGAAACGAGTCACAACTATTTCATACAAAACTAATAATAAATCGGCCAACAGTAAGTTATCAACATATATGTCATTGTTGGTTGTTCAATTCAATTCTAAAAAGCAATGAACATAGCAATGAATTCTTCTGAAGCAAATAAGACCAAATTAAAGTAAACCACAGGAAGTGCCTTGTAAAATACAAACCCATAAATCAGCCGCTTCACTCATCATCTAAGTTGCACTGAGACGGGTACGGGGACAGGAAACGGGGACGGGTTCGGGGACGGGAAACGACAAATTTAAAAATTGTAGAGACGGGTACGACATAGGTACCACAATAAAATATAAGAAAATACCATAGTTTAATATATGAAAAAATAACCATTAAGTAACAGTTTAAAAAAATTACTTAATATCTTTAAAAAACAATAAAAACAATTTAATCAACAACTAAGTCACCCTCCAAATCTGGCTCATCTAGTGTAAGATCTGCAAACTCCAAAACTCCAATTTCTTCCATCGAATCAGCATCTCCACCAACATCCCACTTCTTGGTCTTTTCAGCTTCGTATTCTTCAGAATTCCTGGACAAAAGACGCAAATTGTTGTGGATGAAAACCAAATCTTCAGCACGACTAGGAGTCAACCTGTTCCTTTTCAGCGAATGAATGAATGAGTAAGTACTCCAGTTACGCTCAGCACAAGAAGATGAAGAAGGTTGTCCAAGTAACTTAAAAGCCAGAGTTTGGAGGAGAGGAGTTTGAGCACCAAAGTTAGCCCACCAACTTTTAGGTTCCATAGTAAACATTAGCGAAATGCATGCTAAATCCACAAAAGGACCACTCCTCATCGAGAATGATGCATACTCCTCCATAGCTTTCAGATGATCATCATCATTTGGAAATAATCTCCCAAAACACTTCATCCTATAAATTGAGATTTTTGCATCCCTATGTGGAGCACTCCTTGAGGAATTTTCGTTTATCCATTCATCACTATAAAATCTACAAAATATAAAATATTATATATATACATCAAAGAAATTAAAATATATATATATATAGGTCTTTGGTCGTATAAAAAAAAGAAATTAAAAAAAAATCATAATACCTTGGATTTAAAGAGTGAGCTAGACAATGTAGAGGTGTGTTATTCTTTTTCCAACGAGCCACTGAGATTTAATAAATGACATATCATAGAAGAGACTAAATTCTGTCATTAGTCGAGCTTCTCTTTTGTAGATCTCAAGTTTCACCTTCTCAATCATAGAATCCCACATCTCATATACTAAGTGAAGGCATGGCTTGTCAGTGTCACAAAACCTAATCATATCATATATAGGTCTAGTGAAATCAAGAATATAAGTCACTTTATCCCACCAATCATCTTTCACGATCAACTCTTTAACCAAGGCTGCTTTTCCAATATCATCCTCTCTATAAGAAGACCACTCCGCACTGATAACCATGGCTTGAAGACCGGTCTTGATCAGTTTCATTCTTTTAAGCATCACTATAATTGACGCAAAACGAGTATCAGCAACAGAAAGCAACCTAAGAGGAGAGAACTTACTGAAAATTGATAGTCTCATGCTATGGTTCATAATGAAATTTTTAATAGCAAGTGCATCCCCATGAACTACAGTAATCCAGTTACACTCCTCATAGGTTGCTGCATTCCCTTCTGTACTCTTTGCTGCACAAATGTTCTTCAAGGCCAGATTAAGTGTATGCACGACACATGGTGTCCAATATATGTGAGGAAACAAACTCTCAATATGCTCTCCAGCCGCCTTACAGTTTGGTGCATTATCTGTGATAATTTGCACAACATTCTGATGACCCACTTCATTTATAACTTCTTGCATCAACTCAGAAATGAAGTATTTATCTTTGACTTCGCCGAAACAATTCACAGCCTTCAAAAACAGAGAACCACTTCCAGAAGTAGCTATGAAATTGATTAGAGGTTTTCGTGTAGGATCGCTCCAACCATCACTCACAATCGTCACCCCTCTTTCTTTCCATGTTCCTTTCAATGGTACTAATAACTTCTCCACATTCTCTTTTTCTTTCTGCAATAAAGTGGTTCTCAGCTTATTATAACCAGGAGGAACATAACCATCAATTTTGCTGGCAGCAGCAAACTGAAATGCCCTGTGGTAATGCGGGTTTTTAGCAAGATTGAATGGCAAGCATCCTGTAAAAAACATTCTTCCAATCTCTTGATCCAATTGGTCTCTAGCTTGAATACCATATGCAGCAACAATAGGTGATAAGCAAGACTTTCTTTTCTGAAAGCTAGCACCATCGTTCTCACAAGGTAAAGGGACTTCTTTAGATCCAGACTCAGCTTTCTTTTTCTCAAACTCATCTTCCAATCTCTGCATTTCAAGTTTTTCAATCCTTGTTGCTTTCTTACACACAGAAATTCCATGACCCGACAATCCAAGTAAATGTGCTTTAACTCTGTAATATGAGCCTTGACGAATTTCATTACAGATATTGCACTTGAATTTCCAAGTTCCTCCTTTTGCTCCTTGTTTCTCTAACTTTGTAACATATTTCCACAATGGAGCTTCTTCAGATTCAGAAGATGGAACAGAACTACTACCAATATGATCACTTCCACTCTGAGAATCCATCTTATGAAACTGAAATTATAAATAAAAAATTGGAAAACAAATTAAGAAGAAAAACAAAAAGGGAATGGCATGCACATAACGATCGGCACTAAAGTATTTCATATTGCTCTAATTCCAAACATGAAATAATATGATGATTATGTACTTTCTTAGCATAATTTTTTTGTTTCTAAATTAAAAAGAGAAACAAACCTAACGATTACGCAAGATGGAGAAAGTGGGAGCAACAATATATAATTAGGAAAGATGAAGAAAGAGGAGATACCGAGATACTCAAAGCCTGATTAAGCTGCTCCAATTGAGAATTTCTTTCTAACGAGAAGATTAGAAGAGAGACGTGAAGAGATGAATAGATGGCGTGAGAGATTAGAGAAATAGGGAATAGAAAAGGCTAAGAGTCGTGATGTGTGAGTTTGTTAAAACCCTAAGTTTTTTATTTTATTTCTTTTTGAATTAGGAATTTCCTTTTATTTAGATAAGTCAAAGAGAAGAATTTTTGAATTAGGAATTTCGTTTTCTTTAAATAAGTCAAAAAGAAGAAAATAAGTCAAAAAATGATCGGGTACTTGGAAACGCGCCGTCTCCGATCAACGATCACCGTCCCCACCAAACAGTTGCCGTCCCCAATTTGATCAGTACGTCTCCGGGACGTTTCTCATTCGAACCCCAGCGGTACCCGAACCCCCGCCGTACCCGGGACGGGTACTCCGACCATGAAGCCGTACCGGTGCATCATAGCTCATCATTCAGGAGACCAACAAAGGATTTCAGGAAAGAAGAGAGAAATCATACACTGGTTATCCTGTTCTTCATTCTCACGAAAAAAGGTCACTTCCCAAAAGTGATCTAGACGATGCCATCGAGTTAGATAGAGCAAAAACCCAGTATTTGAAGCCTTTCATTCTACCTGCACAACAAACACAAGGGGAGAGGAGGGGTGAGTAATTGGGATTACTCAGTGAGGGTGGACCTTAAGGAGGCCCACAACATCATCAAACTAGCATAAATTGGTTTTAAGAGATCTAATCCTAAAGCAAGCCCAAGCAACACATATATAGATATATTTACTTATATATATAGACAATTCATTCCTAGCAATTAATCACACAGCATTCAAGGGTAACCCTACAAACAACTACACAAGCAACGGGTCCCTGGACGCGGCAGTAGTAGGCTACCACATGGGCCCCCATGCCTCACCCGTAAAGGCAACCAGAATAATCCCATCCAATGGCTGGCCTATTACCATACCCATTAGTCAGGTTCACTCTGCCAGTCACACAGACTGATCCACAGCAATCACCGAGACAGGCTATGACACTAACGGTCACTCAGACGGCTGCTCATAGCGGTCTCACCAGAAAGCTGTACCCAGCGGTCCCTTTGGACGGATCAATAAACAGTGGATCGCTAATCCACTCCAGCGATGACTCTAACCGTGCCTCACACGACAGCGATAGCCAACAAACAACACTGACTCCTGCCTCCAGGAGCCAGGGGTCCTATCAGAGATCTATATGCACAATCATCCATTTCAAAGAATCAGCCATTTCTTAAAGGTCCTTCCATTATTAAGATGCACTTTCGGTGATACCAATTGTAACAAAAGGAACATTAATCAGGTCAACATCACACAACCAATATTTTAAAGTCCAATAAGTTTAGATCCAAGTTCAGGTTAATTATCTCATTCCACCAGCAACCAGCAATCATCAACAAACAGGCAACATAGATCCAGGTCCGAAACAATTCTAACAGCCCTAACAAGCAGATCTAAGCCTGATCTAAGAAAAGACCACTTAAAAGACAACCATGCATATGTAAGAGAGGATGAAGCCACAGAGCCCTCACCTTGGCTTAGAAGGCTGAGAGACTGGAGGAGGAGGCAGAGGAGAAGCAGATCTAAGAGGAGATCCATCAGAATCAGCTCCCATCTCACCCAAAGGAGAAGGAGGCGGCGCAGACATCACAGCTGGGCAAGGAAGCTTCGGCGGCGAGGGAGGCTTGGAGGATGGCGGCGGCCGCGGCAAGGAGAGAGAGAGACACGGCCAAGAGAGAGAAAGAAGAAGAAGAAAACGCGCAGAGAGAGAGGAAGGGAGCAGCTCGGCGCAGAGAGGAGAGAAAGAGAGAAGAAAAAGGTGGCTATGGTTGATTAGGAGCTTAATGAAGGTTTTAGAGATTTAATTAGATATTTATATGGAGGTTAAATAGATGGGCTGTGCTTAATGGGCTCTTAGAAAGAAATTAGGAAAAGCCCAAATAAAAAGGAAATAAATAGAAAAGGAAATAGAGATGGTTTAATTTAATAAAACTGGAATTAGGTTCTGGTAACATCCGATATTTGGTTAACCAAAAGTCAGGATGTTACAGATGGTGTCCAAAGAAATTTATCCATCCACATTCACAAATAGTTATTTATTGAAGTATATCACTTAATGTTATTATTATTTTTTTGGATACAGAAAGCTCCCTTTTAATAGTATAGCAGTTTTACATTACTTTCATATTTTGGATCTTCCGCCACAAACCTTAATTAAATAAGATTATATTGATTTTGAGAGTATAGAACTTTTGGGCAGTTGATATATTTTTTTTTTTTTTGGTTGGAGAAATTATAAAAATACGCCTGCGCGCATCGGAAATTTTATGAGTATGTATTGGTATCACATTTTTGTTATATGAGTAGTGCCGTAGTGGTATTACTATAATTATACGTAAGTATATACACGTACCGAGTGAATATAGAGATTTTTGTTTTTTTGTTGTTTTGTTTTGGTCGGCGACTGACTATTGAGATACATGAATGATTGTATTTGTGCAACATTGCATGTATATATTTCTCAAAAAAAAAAACAGTGCTTGTATGTGTATACTACTTATTACATTCGCACATAAATATATCTCTGCAGCAGAAAATTCCATGAATATGTAATGTAAGTACATATTACATACGTAAGCATACAATATACAGTGATTATTAGAGATATACATGAATAATCTACATAATATTTATGCGCACATAATTAGATGCATACATATGTATTTCTATTCTTTTTATACGTTAAAGAATCCATGAAAAAGAGAATGTTAAATCTACACCACATTTTATCTTATGACCCATTAACTCAAACTTGTTCAATGTTTACGATGTTTATGGTGTCTGTTGAACTGTTGTACAAGAACAATCAATCTACACTATAGTATTTCAATGTGTTCCTACCGGGGCCGATCGAAGCAGCCGATAGGATTTATAAAAAAAAAATCTACACCACACTATTTAGTATTACAAGAATGGTTTAATTTCCGTATATTAAATTAAATGTTGGATACGTCATAAGTCATTTTAAGCCGTATGAAATCGTTGAGATCATTGAATGGGGCTTTATACTGATGTATGGGCTTGGGCTTAAATTGGACAATCTATGTTTTTTCCTAGATTGGACAATCTAACTCATGTACGAGAGACATGAGAGATGTAATATATTATGAACAATCTAGTTGAACAATAAAAAAAAGTTACAAAGTAATATAGTTTTTTTTTGTTTTTTTTTTATTGGAAGTTACAAAATATAGTTGAACGATGTACATAGTAACTTTGGCTGTATCTCGCAGGTGGGAGCTGTTTTGTGTTTATTTTTGTTCGAAGTTATGTAAGAGCTGATTAATTTGTGCCAATAGTGAGGTTTTGTTTTTTTGCTCTCTCCGGCAGGGCCGGATTTGAAATTTTGGGAGTTTGAAACAAAAACAGAAATAAGAGTCTATAATTAATTTTATAAAAAAAAAAAATTTTAAAAAATTTGTGTTCTAAATTGAACTAAAAAATTTAGAAGCTGAAACAAATATTTCAATGGAGCTGGCCAGATCCGGCCTGCTCCCCACTATCCTTTATTATATTTATAGTGTGATATTAACTTCTTTTAAGAAAAAATTATACGAATTCATTTTTTGGATAATTGGAGAAAAATGAAATTTAGATTATGTTGGAAGTTGGATCTATGATTATTGGAAGAAAAATATATTAATGTTTCTGAAAATTATTTGTGACTTTGTGACGTTTAGAGCTAGCTTTGAACCAACGACAACGAAACAGAAATATTTTGATCGCTGTCATCTTGAAATCGAGAGACGAGATCTTAATATGATCACTAAGAGCATTGGTGCTAGAAACTTGATCCCTAATCTTCTTAAATCACTTTATCATATTCGGCCTTTAACCTCCACTGTGTATCGAATATAAAGTTATTTCATCCAGCCATGTATTTAGATAGAATGCTAATGAAAACTAGACAATGATCATATCACATTAAACGATATACTCCACATTTGTGTTGGAGATCAAATTAAACCACTTTGTGTTATCCAAAGCATCAACTAATTTCAAAGAAACTAATATAAATAAGCTATAAAGTTAAAGTTAAATATTTACATTTAATAAATTTATATAAAGATGTGGTTGACATTTCATGGAATATTTTTCTTGATTGTAGAAAAACATATCAGAATCTTTGTAAATCGACCTAGGAATAAAATAACATGTGGCTAGCTAGCACTCAAGCGACCTTTACAATGGACAAACCAATTTGAAGTTTTTTTAATGGAAAAGAAGATTGTAGTCCAAACTTTTATATCAATTTTTTTTATGATTAGGAGGTCATAGACCAAAGCTCATACTTTTTACAGATTCAGGACTAGAACCTGTTATATGATTCAATCTTAATACTACTCAATTATGTGATTTAAAGGATTTGATTTTGATACTTTTCACTTAACAATATTATTTTTGTCAATTTGTCAATATATATCATTTCCAATAAAAATTAAGAAATAAAAACCTTCCTAGGCAAAAACGAAATTTAAAATATTTTTTTTTATATGTTAGAATATCTAAATGTGATTAATTTCTAAATTACTAGATATTGACAAGGGCATAGTTTAGTGGAGACGGGACTGAATCACTCGCTATTGCCGAGTACGAGCCTTTGGTGCAAGCTTATCCGTAA